CCCCAAAACCCCAAAACCCCAAAACCCCAAAACCCCAAAACCCCAAAACCCCATGCATATGTTTGGCAGCTAAAACTTGTGTGGTATATTAACTTTTGAATACAATTTAAATCTATAATTGAAGTACTATCTATTTATCATTAAAGGAGAGAAATCTCTCCATTAAGCTAGCCAAGGAGACATAGTCTTAGAAGCAACTAATAAAGAAACAGCTCATATAACTGCAAAGCGAGATCAGGCTATTCATCTTCTAATTAGCCAATTTCATTTTGCATATCAGGAGCGAACAATTTGTTGCAAAATCGAATTGTTTACTATGATCTTTTTGGATCATTTATGTGCAACGAATATTAATCGTAGTTTTGTCTTAATTTATTAACATATTAAGAAAGCTCTTCAGCTCTCTATACATTGTATTCATTACAAGCTATCTAATCCCAGCAATCAATGAAGATCTGAGTCAGAGAATATGATTGAGGCTGAATAATTTCTAGTGATTATTATGAAGCCAAATGATGTTGAAATGATTATGATTCCCAGATTAGAAGTACTTATTTCATGAGGCACTCAAATTTCGATTAAATATCTCTGAATTCATAGCCATCCTCATCTTGAGTAAAACTGAATTGATTAGAGATTTTTGAAAAGGTGATTATTTCATGGGCTAGATCTAAGAAATTTGATGGGAGCTTTAATTCATCGTTAAACAACTAGTATTCGATACTTTTAAAGGTTTACTAGATTAATTCAGAAGATGATGTTACAAGGATGATTTATAAGAGGTAATCTGTACAATCATTAAATTTACTAGTGCAAGCATATTGAGAAGTATTACTAGCGGGGTCTAATTAATCGGTTCTAAGTTGATTTTCGGAGTTAATACATCCGAATTAGTAATCGTCAGTTGAATCTCTCAAGTTTAATTTTAGTTCAGAAAATTGAAATTTGAAGATATGTTCAGAAGACGACTTGATATTTGATATCTATTACTTATTATCATTCTAGATCTAATCTTAGTTTTGGCCGGAACATGAGTTTAAATCCTAATAGAATGAATTTTTCCAGGTATTAGAGACTTATTAAGGTATAATTGTTTCAAAATGAGCTCGTTAATCTTCCTCAAAATTTTAGTTTTCAGAGTTTGAATCACTATCTTCAATCTCTTGATCTACAGAATAGTTAGTTTTATGATCATTATTTTCAGAGGAATCATCTTCATATTCCTCTAAGCTAGTTCGATTAAACTAGTTAATCAAATCTTATTATTATGAAGTGTTAGAAATATCTTCACTCTCGCTGATTTAAGTTGTTTAGGTGCTGTTTGTTGGCAAATCGCTATTTTCAGGATATTCGTTTCCATTGGTTACTTAAATTACGTTAAGTCTCTCTGGGCTCTCTGAGTAAAGCTACGGTGCTTGAGTGATTTAAATTTTAGGTTTTAGTAACAGAGACATAGAGCGAGACCTCTATAGATGAGGATTTATGGAGAGTTTAGTTTGAGAAGAAGTCATTAGAAGAAAAATTTTTTTTAGGTTGTTTTCTTGAGTTTATTCAATGAAGTTTATAAATTATAAATTTGATGATAAGTGACAATGGCTTCAATTCAAATTAAGTATTTATTAAATTTGCTTTAAAATAAACTTGCGATTAATAATTAAAATAGTGCTATTTTAGCTAGGCGGGGTTTTGGGGTTTTGGGGTTTTGGGGTTTTGGGGTTTTGGGGTTTTGGG